ATTTTCTCAGACAGGAATATCATCAGTCTCGGCAATGGTGTCCATCCTGTATGATAACAGATGGTCATCATTGAGGAGTGTTGGCTCTCTGCAGTGGTAGTTGTTGGCATGGATGGTTCTGGCAGTTGCCTTGGTCCAGGGGTTGGGCTTACTGGCAGGAGTGGCAGGTTCCCAGAATGGAGAGTCGGTAGTGCTGATTGTAGTAGTACCAGCTGGAGTATTGGTGTAGTGGTTAATCCATATCTGTCTTTCAAGATACTCAGTGAGAGATCGAGGGGTTAGTTGTACTAGGTTTGGTACCACTGGATCACATCTTGATAGGTGTGATGCTCTTCCTTGTTTCTGTTTCAGTCTACTGGCCACTCTTGATGCTGCTTGCCAGTATTGGACCTCGTCCCTGTTAGTGTTATCAAAGAAGAGGTCGGGACTACTGACCCTTGTTTCTCTTCCACTGCTTCTTGTTGATAGGGCATATCAGAGTTGATGTCTGTTGGTACTTCTGGTGCTTGGAGCCATCCGAATGGCATCCAAGGAGTCTCTAGCCTAGTGCCCAATTCCAGACTGGGCAACAGTGGTTCTTGATGCAGGGATGCTGTGCTCAGAAGAGGGGATGGGGGTGTCAAGTCAGAGTCGTCGAAACCCTGTAGCTCAAGGGTTTCCAGGGTCTCGGATGATTGCTAATGGGGGTCTTGGGAGATATTCGTGTTGCTGCTGCTGCTGCTCCTCTTTTCTAGAACATTCTTCAGTCAAGCCTCCAGGCCCATCTTCAGATTCTATTTCTTCAGGGTGTCAGAAAGAGTTTCGGACAGAGGCAGGGATGTCATAGAGGGGGAGGTCTGGCATGACATTTTAGAGGATTATATGGATATGCTGGAACTCTTGGTAGTATCAAATGGCTCAGATGATAATGGATTGGCATCCATGGCACAGCTGTATGATCACCAATAAACCAATCAATGTTCCAATGATAGAAGCTAAGAGTTTGAAGAACTTGTGAGTAAAGTTTGGATCAGATAGATTTAGAGCAGGGGGCATTCAGTTTCTCAGCATAGTTGGGCCTGAGAAAAGAAAGCAAGAAGCTTTAAGCTAATTGTTAAGCCCAAATTCCACATGACTAGTGACACATGATAAACTGACAGAACCTTGCACTTCAGGTTATACTGTCAGAGTTCACTTGTGTGTGACTAGTGTTGTGTAGTCAAGGCATTTGCAGTTCACTCGAGATAAAATAGTGAAGATAAAACTTTAGCTCAAAGCTGAGGTATTACAGCGAGAGCTATGCTATTTAAATACTGTTCTGTTATCATGCTATAAATAAATGTTCACAAAAGATATTGTCTGTCATAGAGCTGTTACTCCTGCTGTTGCCAGACTCTCCACAAAAGCTGTTGTCTTGCTGTTGTGCTGTTGTTGTTGCACTGCAAGTTGAGGACAAAAGAGGTATTGTCTCTCTCTTCACAGCACACAGCATTGTGATAGGAGAGTGACCAACTGGGTTTGCTGAGTAAGCATTCCTATGGTTCTAAGCGCTGGTCTAAGTGCTCTGACTAAGCAAGATAGGGGTCATTTCTGAGGAAAAAGAAAAGAAAATAAGAAAAATTGTAACAGTGCAAGCCACTCTATTCAATTGTTTTGGCAGTAATTGATGAAGATTTGTAGATACTTTTTGATTTTTTAGTTGATGCACTCTATTTGTCTATTAGTCTGTAGGTGATAGACAGTTGATGTATTGCTTTTAACTTGCAGGAGGTGGTAGAGATTTTTCATAAATTTGGAAATGAATTAGGGTCTCTGATCTGAGATGACCACTTGAGGCATGTCATATTTGATGTACATCTTATTATACAGTATTTTTGCCTATCTTTCTGACAAAAGTTCAATAGTGCAGACAATTGAAATGATTGCCTTAGAGAAATGATCCACAATGACTATAATGACATTGAAGCCATTACAGTCTGATAGGACAGTTATTATGTCTATCAAAATATGAATCCACAGTTCTGTCAGGATTTTATTTAGACAGAAAGATGCCACTTTTGCTTGTGTGCTTGACTTCATCTATTGATATATCTTGCATGCTTTTATATACTTCTCAATATTCTCCTTCATCTTTGGCAACTAATACTCTCAGAGTATTAGTTCTTTAATTTTAGTGATCTCTGAATATTCTACTATGAGATGGTCATGTAAATGAGTGATGATCTCTCTATGGAATACATGGTCTTAAGGCATATAGATTCTTCTATCATAATAGATAAGATTGCCTTCCTTCATTATCTCTCTGCTATGATTGATTGATGAGGCTACCTTCTGGTCTCACAACTCTGTTCTTCTGGTGGCACTTTTAATGCCCTTATGTGCTTCTTCCTCTATAAGCATGACTATGGTCTGAAAATATTTGGGTTTTAGGATTATTATTTTTTCATTGTCATTCTTCCTTTAGTTATGGTTGGTATATTGACTGAATAGGTCAGCTTTCTTGTTTACAGTTTCAGCTTTATGTTGAAATACAAAGTCATACTTGGCCAGCTCTGTAACTCATTGTGCTTGACATTGATTCAGTTTCTGAGGAAAGTGGAAGTATTAGAGGTTTTGGTGGTCTGTTCAGATCTTAAATCTTTGGACTGCCTCTATGAGATAGTGTCACCATTCTGTCAGAATGAGTATGATGATGAGCAATTTCTTGTTGTAAATCTCATAGTTTCACTCTGTCACTGAGGGCCTTAGATAAAAATATGACTGATCACTATTTACTCTTCTGTTCTTATAACAAAACAGTGCCAATGGCCTCCTCACTAGAATCTGCTTCCACACAGAATTTTCCATAGCTTATAGATATCACCAGAACAATATTCTCTGCCAGCTGTTTTTTCAGATGATTGAATGCATCAGTTTGAGCAGTACTCTAGGTTCAAGGCATGTTGCCCATAAGTTGAGTCATCAGCTGGATAATCTTGCTGTACTCTTTAATAAAGTGGCAGTAAAAGTTGATAAATCCAAGAAAAGACTGTAGTTTCTTTTTTTTGGTCAGTTCTGGCCACTCCACTACTCTCTGTCATGATTTTAGTCTCTAAATCATATCTGGCTGCATTGACTTGTAGCTTGATTAGAGACCAATCATGTTCAGCCATTTTGACTGAGTTTGAGGCAGTGAAACACAGACTTTGTGCCTGATCACCAAGACTTTTCTATACAGTATATAAGTTAGTAGTATATAGGAATATGCCTCAGTCTCAAGCTAAGGTCAATATACTGATCAAACTTCTAAACTCTTGATGTGACTACCACTTCAGTATCAACACTGGCAGTTGTAGCCTATCAACTTCTATATCTCCCTCCTCTTATCATCATCCAAAACTTCTTACTCTCATTCTTCTGCTTTATTTTTAGTTATTGTTGGACCTCAGCTATTGTAGTACATTTTATTTGTGATTGTTTGGCTATCACCTGACATTTAGCTCAAGACTTCTCATGCTCTAGCTATCATAAAGACAAATTCCAAGAGTAGGGAGTGTTTTTGCATGGCTCTCATATCTGCACAGCATGTGATCTTATACACATGATAAACTGATACTGTATCATACTCATATAGTCATGTCAGAGTCCATCTTTTTGTGTATTTGATGTGCATCAAGGCTTTGAGATAGTCAAGCTCAAAAGAAGAGAAGTATAAAATAAACTTATAACTTGAAGCTGGACTACTACAGTGAGAGCTATACTACTTATATACTGTCTGGGTTATAATAAATATAACTACTGCCTATTGTACTGTCCTGTACTATACTACTTGTTTTGCCTGGTCATTGAGAAGTAGACAATAGAGTATTGTCTGTGGGCAAAGTGACTGAATACAATAGTGCTGCCTGTCTGTTGTGATTATATCATCTTTCCCATGCCTATCAGTAGATGCTTAAGATAAAATAGGCATTCTGATAAGATAAGAAATGAAAAAAGATAAAGTAAGATAAGGTAAAAAGATAAGATAAAGAAAGAGTCATAACATCTTGAGATTGTGACAATCTCTGTTGATGCAGAGATATAGAGCTCCACTCATCCATAAAAAAGAATTGCTGGTGCTATCTCTATCTCAATGTTGAGTCTCAGCTGATGCTGATTTATGAGAGACATCAGTGCAAGGTGTCTCTTCTTCATTCCCATGTCACTGCCTTAGCTAAACATTGTGAAGACCTTGTTGAAAAATGTGTTAGAGACACTATCAATATTCTTGACTTTGTAGACAGACTTCACCAGCTTGGCATTTCATCTGAGGCTGCTAGAGATTACATCAGACTTCTGCAAGAGCAGATTAAGCAAGCTGGCCCATAGAGCTCAACTGTTGCCTTCTCTAACATACAAAATAGTGGCAATAAGGATATTGGTGTGACAGACCACAGGAAGGTCACTCCACTAGACTTGTCTCAGACCAAGATCAAGGAGTTTTGGCAAAAGCAAGTTGAGAAACCCAAAGCTGCTGCTGAATATCATCAAAAAGCCAAATCTCAGGTAGTTGAAGAAGCTGCTTGGGTGATACTCCATACAAAGCTCTAATTCATTTATCAAGCATCTATTTCATGGTGGCAGCAGTTTTTTTGAGAGCCATATATGTTTCAGCATAAATGGATGCCATCAGATCTGGATATACCTACTGCTATAACCTGAGCATAGTCAGAAATGATCCTCAGAGCTCTATCACTACAGTTCTCACTAGTATTCTGGGGCTCAGTGACACTGTCTCACTAAGGACAGCTTCTATTTCTTTAATGGTCCTTGTCTAAACACCTCACCTCACATCTATTGTTGCCATTAGTATCTCAGATTCTCATCTTGCTAAGTTGTTCTGACTTAGACAAGTTTATGTCACTAAAAAATTACTTGACAATCTTATCATGGTTCTTCAAGCCCAGTCTCTGTCTGAACCTATTGCTCAGCCATTCTGGTGACTCATTATTTAGGACCAGTATGTTGATTTTTTGAAACTTTTTGCTTTAATAGACTAAGAATATAATCACAATAAAGAGGCAAAAGAGCTTATGGCAGGATATGCCATTATCAGAAAGGATATTGTATCTGCTAAGAAGCCTCTCAGGTCAGAATCCAACTGGTGCAGAGTGTATGATGCCTGGGCTAGAGGTGTTCAGATTCTTTATCTGCACTGTTAATATATATTGTATCAAGCTAGCCATTCAAGGGCTATAGCTGAGGCTCTGAGCTGATAGCCATGCTATTCTAAGAAGACTAAAGATCAATGTGGACTTAGCCAAAATAACTTTGCACTGGGTTAATAACCTTGAAGTCAAATTGGATTTAGAGAAATAACACCACTATAATAAAATGCCAAGTCAATTTGGACTTAGAAATAGTACCATGTTCAGGCCAATTCTAAATGCCATCAGAGCTGGTATACCATAGTCTAGTTCAGGAGTTTATTATCATGACTAGCAGTGAAGTACATCCAGCTAGCACCCAAACCAGGAATAGAAGCAAAATAGAACTCATTAGCCTATGGCTAGCACATCTGGTCTGATGTAAAATGCATACAGTGAGGATTCCTCAGGCATAAATAACTAAAGATGTGCATAGTTCAGAGAATAAGCCACAACCAGAGAGCTTAGCTGCCTTGGATCACTGATTGATCAATTGTAATCAATAGTGAGTCCAGAAGTAACAAGTGAAACCATGGGATGGTCAATTATATAGTAAATAATCATGAGATATAGAAACAGAGTGCCAGAGGAGTCCTGGAGTGCCTGAAAAGGATATATGAGGAGTGCCAAAGTGGAATAATAACTTAATTTTGGAGCTAACAAGAGAAATAAGTAACTAAACCAAATTATTTATAGATTCTGTATCAGTTAGTTATGTATAAAAGCAGGATGAGGGGGAATCATGTGGCAGACAACCCACTCCTGTGATTTAGGCATTCTAGCTCTCAGTAATTAGTCTCTGTATCAGTGGTTTTGTGTGTAACCTTAACTTAGATAGCATTTGTTACTAAGTCACCTGTATTGAATAAGAGTTGAAGTCTTTATCAGACTTTGGATTTTGGCATAATTTTGTTCTGGCTTAATAAGGGTTTCAGTATTTGGGTATCAGTTCTCTGGTTTCAAGGACTGTTAGCTAGCCACAGGTGCAGCTAGCTAAGTTTCAGTGCTTGAGAGACTTGATATTAGGTTTTGGAGTTTTCTAAGTTAAGCTGAGCACTATAGCTCTGCAGTTTAAGTCTCAATTCACATACTATGTTTTATTCCTACCTCTCTTTGTGAGTATTGCATCTTAGAACATAAGCTAGCCTTGAATAAACTGCCTTTATATCTTTATATCTGATTTATCTGAGTCTGCAGAGTGCTTCTACTGTACTCAAACCACCCAAACTCACCTGTATTGGTGATCATGCATTAAGTGGTTAGAGGTAGGTGTTTGAGAGTTCATTCCTCACTCACCTCTCTTAGCCACTTAGCTGTTTCCCAGCACATCACTGTGAGGCTGAACTTAAAGTTTACCAAGAATATATGATCAGTTTTTCAGACTGTACCTCATGACTCTACAGTTGCCATTCATATTGATGAAGAAGTTCAGCTGTGATATGCTAAGTCCTCTTTTCACATGGATGTCCAAAGTGAACTACAAATTCCCATTCTTACTCAGGTCTTTTACTCTCCTTCAACTTCTTCAGACACAACATGATTTTTATTTGCTTCACTCTCTGCTGTGAAAAGATCAACAGTTCCATGTGAAAACTGGAATCTGGGTTTCTGCTAAGATCCATATACTAATCACCATAGGCATGGTACTTATAACAAGTGTGGCTTAAGACACTGAGCTAGAGACACCATTGAATGTGCCAACCTTCAACCAAAAAAGAGACTTAGATTTGGAAGAGGTAACAGCAGAGGTAGTAGTAGTAGTAGCAGGGCTTAGATCTTTAAGGCCTTAAAAGCACAAATGCAAGGATCAGGATATTGGCCTATGTTTTAGGCATGGCTATGTCTGATCAAATACTTCTACATCATCTATATCTATATCTTCTGCTGCTCAATCTACTGAGTCAGCTGATTTTCTACCCTCTCCTCCTTCACATCTACTCAATGATCTATCCTTGCAGGCTACACTATATGCTTTAAAGGATTTTGTAGTTAACACACTATTCAATGTCAATTGCTTGGAGAATATCCTTTAGTTTCATCTAAATGAACTCTTCATCTCCTCAGTCATTCATGGTCTTTGGAATGAATTCTGGTCTCTCAATTTTGGGGAATGGAAAGACTCTCTCCATGACAAGACTGAGAATTATGCCACAGATCTTTGAGATATCTGTTAGATCTAACTGGTATATGATCTGAACATGTGATAAACTAGCACTATATTGTGTTTTAGCAGATGAAGTGCTTTCAAGGCCAATGACAGGCAAGGCTCAAGAGAAGATAGTATGAAATAAACTTATAGCTTGAAGCTGAGCTACTACAGCAAGAGATATCCTACTTATATACTGTTCTGCTTATAATAAATATAACTACTATTTATTGTACTGTTTTGCATTTTAATACTGATTCCACACCCTTCAAGGCACTCAAGATAAGATAGGCACTCTGATAAAATAAGAAAAAGATATAGAAATAGAGAAAAATCATAATATCATCCCTCTCTTAAGACTATTATTCTGATGGATCAATTGATTGAGATTTCATAGTTATGGATGGCATTGTCAGCATTGAGATTATGTTTATAGGTCTATTAGTTGGATTCAGGTCCATAACCCTTCTATTTAATCAGATAATAGAGCACAGTGTGGCTACTACCACTACAGGCTTGAACTTTCTGAAGTTTGTGATCCAAAATTTATTTGACTTCATAGTGTTCTTCATCTTCAATCAAGATGGGTTTGGGAGAAGGTGGAGTTTCCTGGTTAGAAAAGGCAAGTGTAATGTATGGAGTAAAGAGAGTTTTATTGAAGACCAGATATATATATTAGATGTTAGGCAGCTTTAGGCAGTATGGAGAAGTGCTAATCTTTGCAAAGATAGTAAAAGGACCAGTACATTTGTTGGCAAGCTTGTGTTTTAGGCAAGGCAGGTAAAGGTTGCTGGTGTTGAGCCAGATCTTGTCATTGATAGAATAGTCATAGGCAGGCTGCTGGTGTTTATTATATTGTTTCTTTATGATGACAGCAGCCTTCTTGAGAGTGGTATGTTTTTTGGTGTAAATGAAGGACATGAGTTGTGTGAAGTCCAAGGATGCAAGAGTCATTGTATTGTGTCAGTTAATGACCATGATATGAGGATGGCATCCATGGTTAATAAAGAAGGGTGTCTTATTTGTTGCAGAGTGGATGCAGTTATTATGTTAAAATGCTACAAGAGCAAGCTATTTGGTTCATCATTCTGTCTGTGATTAATAAACATCCAAAGATACTTTTTAATCTCTTGATTAGTATGTTTGGTTTGCCCATCAGTTTGAGGGTGATAGGTGGTTGAGGCATTGCTTCAGATGTTAAAAGGACAATAGAGATTATCAAGAAATTTAGAGATGAATTGTGGTCCATAGTCTGAAATAATGCCTTGTGGTGTTCCATGCTTCATATAAACTTCACCATATAGAATCTTTGCTCACCTCTCAGAAGACAGTTCCATTGAACATACAATTAAAATGATCACTTTTGAGAACTGATCAATGATGATAATAATAGCATCATAGCTATTACATTTAAGGAGTCCAGTGATTATGTTGACTGGATGTGGGTTCATGATTCTGTGGGAATCTCATTTAGATAAAGTGGGATGGCTTGTACCTGCATGCTTGATTTGGTTCTATAACAGGTTTCATATCTCTTAACATACTTCTTGACATTCTGTCTCATCTTTGGTCATCAGTATTCTCTCAGCATCAACTCCTTCATTTTTGCGATCTCTGAGTGTCCTGTAGTGATGTGGTCATAAGACATTATGATAATTTCTCTCTAAAGAGTATGGTTGTAGAAAATGTAAATTTGATTATTATAGTAAATCAAGTCTCCTGACTTAGTCATGCCCTGCTCATAATTGATTGATGGAGCAATCCATTGATCTCATAATTCTGTTTATTATATCACACTCTTGATTTATTCATGGACTTCTTCTGTTGGCATGATCATAGCATAGAAATGTTCTAGTTTCAGAAGGGTTACTTCTTTATTGTCCTCCCCTCTCTGATCATGATCAAGCCTGTGGCTCAGCAGGTCCATCTTCTTATTTGCCATTTTAGCCTTGTGATATAAGATGTATTAATACTGAGTGAGCTCAGTGACTCAGTGGGCTTATCATTGGTTGAGCTTCTGCAGTAATTGAAAGTAGTGTAGATTTTGATGATCAGTCCAGATCTTGAAGGTGTGAATGGCACTGATCAGATAATGCCTCCATTCAGCAAGTGCCAACATAATGGCCAAGAGTTTCTTGTCATAAATTTCATAGTTTTGTTCTATGGTGGTCAGTGCTTTTGAGAGGAATGTGACAGGTCACCATTTCCCTTCCTGCTCTTTTGAGAGTACTGCTCCAATTGCTCTCTTGCTTGAGTCAGCCTCAACTCAGAACTTCCCATTCTCTGTTGATATTGCAAGTACCACATCCTCAGCTAATTGTCTCTTCAAGTTGTTGAATGTGGCCTGTTGGGTGATTCTCTAGGCTCAGAGAGCATTTCCCATGAGCTGAGTCATAGAGCAGACAATCTTGCTGTAATCTTGGATAAATCAGTGGTAAAAGCTTATAAATCCAAGAAAGGATTGTAATTCCTTCTTCTTGGTTGGCATCAGCCACTCTGTTACTCTGGCCACCTTGATGGGATCCATTCAGATACTTTTCTTATTGATGATTACTCTGAGATACTTGATCTCCAGTATCTCAAACTCACACTTCTTGGCCTTGAGAAACAGCTTATGCTTCCTCATTAGTCCTAATACTTGACAGAATAGGCATTGATGTTTGTCTTGATCTTTCAACATAATCAAGATGTCATCTAAATAGATTGTGACCTTCTCTGTGGCAATGAGGTTCTTGAAGATGTCATTCATCATCCACTGGAAAGTTGTGGGCAAATTGGTTAATCTAAAGAATATGACCATGAGCTTGAACAGATTATGGTTAGTCTGGAATGCAGCCTTCCATTCATCTTCCTCTTTAATCCACACATT